AGAAAGAAAGAAAGAAAGAAAGAGAAAGAGAGAAAGCACGGATAAATGAATGAATGAACGTTTTTCCTATTCTTATTTTGACTCTTCTTTTATTTAGCGAATCTCGCGAAACGTTTATAAGGGTATTCTAGAGGTGATGCGATACATGATATCAGGCTTCGAAGTGACAGTCTCTAACCACGGTATCGGTGGTGTTGCCTCAGCCTACAAGTTCCTGGAGGTAGCTCATACCCATTATTATGGTCGGGACATCAAAGAAGAGGCGGTCAAACGACGAAGCGACGACGAGTTATCGATTGCTTCCAACTGTGAAAGTATTTCGAGTCTTTCTGATCAGCTGAGCGAAATTTCATCATCGGAAATAGGTAGGTCAAATTTGAAAAAAATTGTTTTAGCGTAAATTTTATCACATTAATTATTTGAAACCCATGAATAGGATGACAGGGCGTTTTGATTGGTCGATAATTTTTGAAAAGAAACTAAAAAATTTTGAGCAAATACTTGTGAAGAACGTATTGCGCATGTCAGAAAATTTGGCGGCAAAATATCAGACATGCTTCAGAATACGTTTTATTTCTATTGCCTATAAAAGAATATTATATGTTTTATTTGATTTTTTTGCTGGATCTGTGAATAAGCCGTGCCTTGACTTTGATGAGTCTAGAGGTTGTTCCAGGTATCAATGAAATTTAAGGTTTTTGATGGAAAAAATCCTTTGAAAAATAAAACGTTTTTCCTGTGCCCTAAAAGCTTATATCAAGAATATTACGTTATTTTAAAACAGAGAAAAGACGGTTTAATGGAGAGAGTGATCGGGATAGTGGTCATGGAGGAAGCGAGTTCGACGCCATAATGCTACCTGTAGCAAAACACGACAAGCTGAGCAAAACCGTTAGCTGCCCTCGCTGGAACAGCGATTTAACCAACTCTTCTACTCACAACAAGAGCAAAGCTCGCCTTAAAGAAAGCGCAAAGCTTGTAAGAACTTATTCAGCCGACCAACCGAGCAAGACAACGAGGCAAAGAGAAGTAGAATTACGAAAAGAGAAATCAAAAAGTCCAACACTTGCTCATATGAAGCTTAGCGGTGAAGGAAGCTCTTCGAGAAGGAGCTCGTATGATAGAATGAGTTTATCGTCAGTGAATATTCCACCAAGTCCCATGCTAAGGAAAAGTAACTTAAGCAAGGGTTATCGGTAAGTTTTCAACAAAAAATAGAGATTGTTATCTTCATTGTGAACAAAGTTGCAAACATATGTTAAATGCCCTATTTCACTATGACGTCACATCAAAACAATCTAGTGTTTAAACGCAAAGGATCATGGTCGTCGGAGGGGGTCAAATCAACGCAAATTCACCGAAAATTGTTCTAAAACCCGTATCAATCCACGAAGACAAGTAGAATAGCCAGCAAACGCTCAGAATATTTTTAGTACATATTAACACATATTATATCTGAAAACCAGGCTATTTTAGATTAAACTGTTTCGCTAGGAGCAAATTTTGTTGAATTTTCTATTGGATTTGGCGATTCTATCCCCCACATAAACAAGCAGTGACATCATATTAAATAGGGCAATTGCTTACCAACTCGTTGATGCTGATTGGTTGGAAAACAATCTTAGTGACCTACCCATTCCTCCAAGATGACGATGACAGAGTTATCATGTCTTGAAATTTGAGTTTTATTCCCATCGTCCCAATTGATAATGAACCTCGAATCGACCACTGGTCTGTTTTCCCAAAAGTCTCTATTCCGTCTGGTTCCATCTCGTGGTATAGAGATAATTCACCACTTTCGTATTCGATGCATGCCGCTGTTTTTGAAGACCACAGACTCATTTAGCACAGGTTTAGCCTCATTCATAAGTCAGCTATTCACAGCCCGTGAGATTCAAAGCATTGGTATTGTTCAAGCTGCACATTCTTTACATTACAGTTGACTTATGCAAATGATTTGCTCTTACTGCGCTTCTCAATCACACGCGTGTAATCCGGTGTAAATTGGTGGATGTCATTCAATGCGTTTCCATGACATTCCATAGGCACGTGCCCTTAACAATGCTGGGGAACACTTTGATTGGCGTCCACCAAAACTCTATTATGTCTCGATGCTTTTTTCACGGTTTAGCTCGTGCGATTGAGAAGCGCTGTGGCTAAGCCTGTGTATACTTTCTCAAAAACAATGTAAATAGATTTTTCGCTTTATTATTATTATTATTATTATTATTATTGTTATTATTATTATTATTATTATTGTTATTATTGTTATTA